TTTACAGGTGCTCCATCACTGGAGGTTTTTAAGAAAAGATTGGACAAACCTTTGTCTGAAATGGTCTAGTGCAGGGGTAGGCCACCTTGGCTCTTTTATGACTGGTGGACTTCAACTCCCAGAATTCCTGAGCCAACATGGCTCGGCTTAGAAACCTCTCCCTTTCCTCTCAGCGTGGCTGGCTCAGGAATTCTGGGAGTTGAAGTCGAGTCATAAAAGAGCCAAGATTGTCTACCTCTGGCCTAGGCCTAGGCCGCTTTATGACTGGTGGACTTCAACTCCCAGAATTCCTGAGCCAGCATGGCTCAGCTTGGAAACCTCTCCCTTTCCCCTCAGCATGGCTGGCTCAGGCATTCTGGGAGTTGGAAGTCCATGAGTCATAAAAGAGCCCTATCCCTGGTCTAGGATCTCCTGCTTGAGCAGGAGGTTGGACTAGAAGACCTCCAAGGTCCCTCCCAATTGTTATTCTGTTCATATGATGTGAATGTGCCCACTAAAACCTGTGTTTTTTTCATATCACAGCTTGCTTCATATCATAGCATTTTAAATCCCCCCTATCCCTTCCTCCCTCTCTTTCTTTTCTCTCTCTCATTCTTTCTTTCTTTTTGATAGAGATGGGGAATCCCCCTCCCCCCATGGCAAATTAGAAAAGAAATAGCAACCACTACATGCAAAGCTGAAAGGCATGATTTCTGATCAGCATGCATTTGATATCCCCCCCAACCCAGATACTCCTTTTCAATCTACCATTGAGAAGAACCACAATGCAAAAAAAGTGTATTTTCATTCTTTTTTTTTTAATTGAAAGGATAATAAAAAATTTCTTCATATTGCTTCAACAAAATGAGAGACAGAAACTTGCCGGGGTAATGCTTTTTTTTGTTTGGTTCGGTTTTATACAGCAAATGAAAAGGAAAAATAAAATTTGTACCTTTAAGCAACATGAATCCAACATATACACAGAAAAAAAAAGCCAAAAAACAAAGGCAAAGCGATTTAAACCAAATGATTTCCATCAATACATTGGCGAATCATATATTATGTCAATAAATACCCAGATTTAGCTTAGTTTTTTTTTTAAAGAACAATGGGTCTGAACCAAAAATCTTTTACATAATATGCAGAAAGGGCAAATATGTATTTATTTACAAATCAGTGCATACCAAGGTGAGGATTGATGCCAAAACCAAGTGAATAAATTAAAGCAAGTGGGTGGGAGAAACATGGAGGCAGGACAAAACGCCTGTGTCCATTACCACCCGACATTCATTGGAAAACGAAGCTGTTTTCTAGAAAAATATGCCGAGAAAATAGGAATGTTCTAAATCTGATTGCTTTAGTGCCAAAAAAAAGGTATACATAATCAGTACCCAGAGGGAAAAACTTATAAAGTAATAATTAATATAAATTGGCATGTAAAAAAGAATCCATCAATTAAATAAAAATAGGGAAAACTATAATATTCACAAAATATTTTTTTTTAAAAGCTGCCCAAAGCAGGATTATGCCACACTTCTTCTATAGACATTTTTTTTTCTCCTGCCACCCATATGTTAACGTTTCTTTGCATAGACCAGATGGGGGCCAGCTGTCTTCACAAAGACTTCCAACTAGAAAGAAATTTGGGACCCTTTGTAAATTATTGAAGGTCAAAGAGCAAGGTCGTTCAGTTCAGACAATGAAAACACCAACATGTTTTTTTTTTTCCTGTACCACCACCAAGTTCCCAGATCATAAATGGGCTCTTAAAGCCAAGCACCCTAAACCAGGTCACCCCTAAGGAAGCCAACTCAAATTATTTCCCTGTTCCCTTTTCCTGAAGAGCAACCCTCTCATTTTACAGGGAAGAGAGCAATGCACAAATGTGCAAAACTTTAGCCCCGGTGTGCACCCTAGCCAAACCTGAAAGGGCTTATTGCAGAAGATCTATAGGATATGATCCCCCAAAGTCAAGATGGCGGCCAGGACAGGCGATGCGAAGCTCCATCTGGTTCTTTTGTGGGCCCAAAATTTCAAGATGGTGCCCCCAACAGTGAAATTGAAGCTCTCTGGGTTTTATGGATGCCACCTTAACTTCTGGGGCCCTATCCACATCTCTGAAAGTTGTCCAGATAAAGAAACACTGATCTAGATGGTATTCCTCAGTGTTTCAGCAACAAGCAATGCAATACTTCACTTTCATTCTTAACAATGTCAATTGGGCTTATCATAAAAACTATCTCGTTCTCCTGGCTTGGCCAGTGCAAAAGAAAAAACAGAACAGTGTTTTCTCCACTTCCAACTAATTCTGAACATTAAACTCTGAGCTACTGTGGCTGATTGCTGAATAGGACTGTTTTCATGTTCTTTTAGAAGACTAAAACTATCATCCATCATCAAGTTGCAACAGAACTCCTGAGAACTCAAAATACAGCTCTGTGGCTATTACAATTTATCACCCCAACTCAAACAATGAGAACTACAGCTTCTTGGGAATTTGGTGGACATCTATCTCTTGTAAAAATGGAGTGTCTTTTCCCACAAGAGATATCCAAGATTCCTAAAATCATAACATGTTTCTCTTCTTCATTCTCCTCCCAAGGCTATAAATTGTTCTCTGTTATTTCACCACCTTCAATCCAGGTGGGCCTCCATAATGACAAATAAAGTATTTTTCTATAAAGGTTCCCATGGTCAAATCCTTAGGTAATTAAATAAATAAAAACAATAATTTATAACACAATGTAAACTCTTTTTTGTTAAATAATTCATAGGCTTTGTTCCTCTCTTAATAGTTTGATAATTTGTCCACCACAGAAGAATGGCTATCCTGTTTAACTACCAGTCTTATACAAGTACAAAACTGTAGAAATCAGGGTTTTTTTTTCTCCTTAAATAGGCTCTTCATAATACAATGCATGAACTCTGCAGGTGAAAGGCTGCTCAAAACAGTCACTTTCAGCTGTATTGCAACATTTAAAGCAGTGATTCTCAACCCCAACAACTTCAAATTGTGTAATTTCAATTCCCAGAATTGTGCAGCCAGCCATGCTGGCTGGAGAGTTCTAGAAGCTGAAGTCCACAAGGGTTAAGAAACACTAATTTAGAAGGCCCCCCATTCACGCCTTCCAAGGCTCAAATGCTTTGCTAAGCAATGGCTATGATTCCAAAACAATTGCACAGCAGTTACATCCATCACAAATATTCCAAAATTCTGCTACTCTCCAGTAAAAGACGCTCCTTTTACTGCTTTCTCCAAATATCAGAAGTAGCTACAACAAATAATATACATTTCCAAAATTAGTTCCAAAATTTCTAGATTGCATCTGCATTACAAAGCAAAACATCTTTGGAATCAATTCAATACACTCCGGAAAACAAGGTTAGGAATTGCCAGAAGAAAGATGGAAGGAAGGGAAAGAGACAAAAAGCTTGTGGACAACCTGTTAAACTTTCTTAGACCTTTCCCCTCATCCACCCACGCCAAATTCTTAATTTTTTTCCTTGAGGAATCCAAGATTGTGGGATAGGATTCCAAATCCATAGTGCAGTTTTAGTAAGGGAGGGAAAGAGGGAGGAAGGGATTAAGGTGGGAGGATGGGAGAGAGAGAGGGAAGGAAGGAATCCTCCATCCCTCCCCTTCTTTTCTTTCTTCTGTCCCTTCCTCCTTCCTTCCCTCCCTCCCTAATTCCTGCAGGAATTAAAGAGGGAGGGAGGGAAGGGAAGGAGGGATTAAGGAGCGAGGGAGGAAAGGGAAGGAAGGAAGGAGGGAGGAAAGGAAGAATCTTCTCTCCCTCTTTCCTTAATTCCTGCAAGGAGGGAGGGAAGGAGGGAGGGAGGGAAGGATTAAGGGAAAGGAAGGAAGGAATTAAGGCGGGAGGGAAAAAAGGAAGGATGAAGGGAAGGAGGGAATTATGGAGGGAAGGAAGGAATAATCGAGGGAGGGAAGAAAGAAGAGGGGACAAATTATGGAGGGAGGAAGGAAGGGAGGGAGGGGAAGAAGGGAGGAAGTGAGGGAGGGAGGAGGGAAGGAAGGAGGAAGGGAGGAATTATGGAGGAAGGGAGGGAAGGAGGGAAGGAAGGAGGGAGGGAGGGGAGGAAGGGAGGAATAATCGAGGGAGGGAGGGAACGAAGGAGGAAGGGAGGGAGGGGAGGAAGGGAGGAATTATGGAGGGAGGGAGGAAGGAGGGAAGGAAGGAAGGAGGGAGGGAGGGAAGGAATTATGGAGGGAGGAAGGAGGGAATTATAGAGGGAAGGAATGAATAATCGAGGGAGGAAAGAGGGAAGGGAGGAATTATGGAGAGAGAGGAAGGAGGGAAGGAAGAAATTAGCGAGGGAGGGAGGGAGGAGAAGATGCCCTTAAAATGTAATCATCTTGGTGTTTAATCCAAAAGAGGAGAAGGGGAGAGGAAGTAAGGAGATACCTAATGCAAATAAATCCCCAAGGGCCGGTCTGCCACGTATCTCTTTCCCTTTCAGCACCTTAACTGACCACAGCCTAACCAAGAAGCCTGTGACAAATAAATAATATATATTATGCAAAAAGAAGACGATTGTACATAATGTATGATATAAGCTATAACTAACTTAAATAAAAGTCCCAGGCTTTGTTGAAGCTTCGGCGACTTGTTTAAATCGGTGATCCTTTGCAATAAATAGGGGAGCAAAGAAATAACCCAAATAATATAATTAATTCCCCGGCTGTAAACGTTTTCCCATTTCAGCAATAGCAAATCATTTGCACAATAAATAAACTTCTGTAACTCACAAAAGCAGTTGCAGAAAAATTGTCCGCAAACATTTCGGCATGTTTGCAGAAGGTGCTGGGTGAGTGATCCATACACTTAAAAGGTATACAAGGGATATTCCTTACAAAGTCTCCCCATTCCCCCCCCCCATACAAAATGCAAGAAAATTGTTTGGATTTGCAAAATTCTCCTTCCACCCACCCCCCAAAAATGCCATTAAGAACTCAGAAGGTTTTCACAAATAGTAAAAAACAAAACAAAAAACTTTAGCACTTTTTTTTTCTCCACAAAGTGTCCAAAATAGAACAATATTGATTTATCTGATTAGAGAGATCTTCTTCCCAGCATCTTGCAGAAAGGAATGTTTATTCACCATAGGAAATGAGACACTGTCCGGCCTTTCCTTTTACCAAAAAATAAAAATAAAAAAAATAAAAATTTAAACCTTCATGGTCTCCACTAGAGATGATTTAATGGCATCTTCAAGAAGCTGGCTGTCTGAAAAAGGTGCAGGGATTTCTGGGACAGATTCAGACAACCCAATCAGGGACTCCAGAAAACAGCTGCTCTGATCTGCAGGTTGAGAGAAGCTGGGGAGATTTGGAAACTGCAGCTGCAAAACGGTAAAGTTGTCCACGTTCTCATACTCCTTCAAGGAGTTATAAAGAGGTCCCAGGTTGTAATCCGAAAAGGACTGGAAAAAATCCAAAGAATCGGAGGAGAAGCTCAGATCCATGTAGTTCTTGGAGTCCAGTTCTTCAGAGGAAGATGGAGAAAAGCTGGCGCCCTCTTCATCCTGCTCAATGGAGATCTCCTCAAGGAGATCGCTTGGTCCCTGGTTGGCATTCTCATCCAAGCATTCGGTGATGTTTGATAAATAGCCAAAACCACTGCTGGAGCCCATCTCTCCAGCAGGGTTGGTAGCACACTGGTATTCCACATCCACACTAAAGAAACCAGAAGGGTGGAAAGAACTCAGATTATCCTGGCAGTGGCCAACACCACTGCTGTCTTCTTCTGCATCCGAATCGTTGAAGTGGAGGATCCGGGCCAGGCCATTGTCATCGATATCCAATTGCGACTTCTCAGACGGGTGAGTTCCGTACGACTCTTCCAAATCCTCGCTTTGATTGGATGACACCGACGAGTCGGTTGTGTTGCTACTGCAGCTGTTCTCGCCCACAGTCTCCAAGGTGGTGCTGAACTTGAAGACGGGCATCAGCGAGACGGCCCTTTCCTCGTAGCAGGCCTTCTTGACCGGATAGACAAATGGGTGAAGATGGTCTCTGAAGGGTAGCTCAGACTCGCTGTTTTGCTGGTTCTCTTCCAACTCCAACCTCCTGAGGGTGTGGAGGAAGTGGGTCTGCACCCGAGCTTGGTTGAACTCAATTCTCCCCTCTGTGTTCCCACAACCATCTCTGGTGCAACCACAAGGAAAAGAGGTGTAATCCATCTGTTGGAAGAGAGATCAAAGATTTAGAATAGTTTAAGGAAGAGAAGGACAAGGATAGCAATGCTCCAATATCTCAGGGGCTGCTCCAGAGAAGAGGGAGTCAAGCTATTCTCCAAAGTGCCTGAAGGCAGGACAAGAAGCAACAGATGGAAACTAATCAAGGAGAGAAGCAACCTAGAACTAAGGAGAAACTTCCTGACAGTTAGAACAATTAACCAGTGGAACAACCTGCCTCCAGAAGCGTGAATGCTCCAACACAGGAGGTTTTTAAGAAGAGACTGGACAGCCATTTGTCTGAAATGGTATAGGGTTTTCTGCCTGAGCAGGGGGTTGGACTAGATGACTTCCAAGGTCCCTTCCAACTTTGTTTGTTCTGTTCTGTTCTACTCTACTCTACTCTACGATTATTCCTATTCCATTCTAGAAGAGACACTTTATATCAGATCTCACAATGTTTCCATTCTGTTTGATCTTAGGACATAAACATCTGGATGTTATTAACTGCATTATTTGCACTAAGCCTCTTAAGCCCTCTCCCCAAGGACTGTGTCATACACTGCATGAACACACAGTTGTAATAGCTAATCGGCTGAAGAGAGCATGAAGGAATCTGAGCTATGATCGGTTGCTGTGAGAATGAAGGGAGAGTTTCCTGGTTTCCAGCCTTTCCCCCCCCTCTGTGTGTGCCTTGTATGCTCTCTATAATTTACCCAGTGATGTTCCTGCTGTTTTCATTTACCTGACTATGCTCCCGTTTGCCTCTTATTTACTGTAAATATATTTATTTATATAAAACCACAAGTCCTTTGAGAGCAGGCAAGAGAACTTCATTTTTAATGGGTGCCAATGTGCTCACAGTAAAAAAAAAAAAGGATAATAAAGGTTATCTTAATCTTATCAGCTTCTTTGACTCCATTTGGACACCAGCTGCTGCAATTCCCTGACAGAACACAATAAATTGTTTAATTTGAAGTCACCCCAGTGTTGCTGAGATAAACTCTTCCAAGATTCCTGGCCCAAATTACTTTCAAGATCCTGCAAAGTGAGTCTAGTTCTAGCCATCCACATGAACATATATACTGTTGGGCATTCACATGTGCAATTTAATTAAACAGCAGTTTAATTAAAACTGTAAAGTAAAGGATTCCAGTGGCAAATCATTGGTCACTACAAGGTCTTTACTAAGAAACTTTTTTCTTATCCATTTTGAAAGAAATCTCTTAGTGAATGAGCACAGACTTTTTTTTTTCCAGTTCTGCTTTCACGAATCTTTTTTTCCCCCAAATTTTTATTGAAGTTTAAGATAAACTACAAATAAAAACAAAAGTCAAGAAAGAAAAAGTGCAATGATAAAAAAAGAAATCTAATCAAATTTCCTTCGGATGGACTGAAGTTCCAGACTTCAACAGATGTACAATTTTTAGGGTCTACCTGGCCAGCAATTCTGGGAGTTAAATCTAGCACAGTGTTTCTCAACCTTGACAATTTTAAGGCATGTGGACTTCAACTCCCAGAATTCCACAGCCAGCATTCTGGGAGTTGAAGTTCACATGCCTTAAAATTGTCAAGGTTGAGAAACACTGATTTTTTTCTAGCACATCTGTTGGGTTTGGGGAACTGAAGACAAATCTACTTGGAAGTAGCGAGGTTGCAGCTGTCTAGTTTAAATAAAAGAGTCCATTATCCACATCATTCTGCCTTAAATATCAGACCCCAATTCCACTCTATTCATTTTGTGTAGGTATATTTCTCTGTTCCATCATTTCTGCCTCAGTTCTTGGATTATTTAAAGCCGAGGGATCTCATTTCTAAGATCTGCCTAAGTTACCAAACTTCAAATGAAACCACAATGAAATGGTGAAACAATGCCAAAAAACTCACACAGCCAAGACATAAGCATGAGTGGTTTCATATTACTTATTGAAACAAACACCAGACTTATTAATAAGTTTGGAAAGAAACTAAATAGTCTTCCAAAACCATTTTTAGAAGTTAACACAATTACCGGTAAATAAAACTACTATTTAAATCAGCCAGAATATTAAATTTGAATGACACTATAGGAAACTAGTGGGAGGTTTCTTTTCATTACAATACTCTTTGGCTTATGACCACAACCGAGTCCCAAAATTTCCTTTGTTGACCAAGACTGTTGTTGAGTGACTCTTGTCCCATTTTACGACCATTCCTTCCATCCTTGTTAAGAGAATCACCTACCTGGCATTTAATTCCTGCCACACTGCAGCTACAGGTTTCGGGGTCACAAAACCCTTGGCAGTCACAACCGCAGTTTTCCCGAGAAAGACGAATCCTTTGCAACTGCCGCTTCTCCTCCCTGTCAATCTTCTTCACTCCCATGGCCTTGAGCAAGGCCCGCCTCTTCTTGGTGGTGTAAGGCTGGAGGAAGAAGCTGTTCTCCAGATCCACATTACTGATATCCACATCGTCCACTGAGATGTCCTCTATGGTCAGCCGCTTCGCTTCCTCAGACACCTTCGTACCGTTCATAGTGAGCTGGATAAGGGGGGAAGACAGAGAAGACCCTTAATCCCGCACGGTGATACTTTGGGAGTTCAGGACTTTCTAGGCAGAGATCCATCCCTTCTCCATCCCCATGTTTGGGGGTGGGGTCTTATCCAGGTGGGTCAAATACAAGGCAAATGCCTGGTGCCATGCTGAAAAATTACCCCAGGTATTTTCTTACCAATACAGATAATCCTCGACTTACGACCACAACTGAGCCCAACATTTCTGTTGCTAGTTAAGTACGTTTTGTCCCATTTTGCGACCTTTCTTGCCACCATTGTTAAGTGAGTCACTGCAGTTGTTAAATGAGTAACAAGGCTGTTAAGTGAATCTGGTTTCCCCCATTGACTTGTCAGAAGATCGCACAAGGGAATCACATGACCTTGGAACACAGCAACGGTCATAAGTATGAGCCGGTTGCTAAGCATCTGAATTTTGATCACGTGACCGTAGGGATGCTGCAACAGTTGAAAGTTGGACATGTCACTTTTTTCAGTGCTGTTTTCAGTCATTAAATGAACTGTTGTAAGTCAAGGACTACGTGTGTATGACCAGGATCCTGGCTTCCTCTGTTTTGTATGTTCCTCCTAGAAGCTTAACCAGACTGGGACTGGGGCAGAAGGATGGAAAGGAAGAGAACAGAGAACCATAATCTCTTCTGCCCACTCCAAAACTCAACATCAGCAGAAACAAAAACAAAACAAAAAAAAAAAATCCACCACCAAAAGAAATTCTCAAAGATCCTGCGAATGTCATTCTTCTCCATGGAAAGAAAATTACCGAGAAATGACAAATTAGGTTTCAAGGCCATATTAACCCCTGGCTATCTCATAAAGGGGGTGGGCTGTTGTTCCGAGATTTAAAAAAAATAAGAACTGTTATAAACAACGTACAACGATTTCTAAAAGTTTTTTTTTTAAGTAACTAAGAGGCAGCTCAGTGCAAAGTTCTTTCCCCAGGAATGCAAAACATTGTGGCGCACATTTTTCCAACTTCCCTCAAGGAGAATTCGTGTTCCCACGGATTGCTCCTGGTCGTAGGGCTAAGTGGCTTTTATCTGCCTTCTGGGGCCAAGGGGAAGGAGAGCCCCCCAAGCAATCTGAGTTCCTTAAAATTTTGACGACATGAAGAATTGAATGCTTGCAGAGGAGAAGATTCTTACTTTCAATTTAAGGGCTTCAAGTCTTTCTTCTTTCAGCCTGTCCTTCAGCTTCTCACGGCGGACGATCTGCTGCTGCTTGCAAAATTCCGACATGGTGAATTCCCGGGAGAAGCCATGCTTCCTAGCCATCCCCAAGGTGCAGCCCCCACAGCTAGGCACGCTGGTGAATCCTTGGCAACGCGGGAAGTAGAAGACAGTGACCCGGTCAAATTCGACATTGTTCCGCCTCAACCGCTTGCTTTTCTTCAGGATGGACGTGGCTGCAGGAAGAACGAGGGAAGGAAATGAGTGTTGATCGCCATTATTCTTTTGACAAACCTCTTGTTTTTCCACCCAACTTCCCTCCAAATTAATGTTTCTCTATTTCAGCCACTTTAAGATGCGTGGACTTCAACTCCCAGAAGTCTCCAGACAACAAGGTTGCACTTCTATTCCCAGAATTCCCCAGCCAGCTATTCTAGTTAGGGAGTTGAAACCTATATTGCTGAGATTGAGAAACATTGCTCTAAGTCAGTGAGGACTAGGAGCTTGGATTTTAATTCCTACTAAAAGACATCCATGATAGTAAGAGCACTTAAGACTTATATACCGTTTTATAGTGCTTTACAGTCCTCTCTAAACGGTTTACAGAGTAGTCAGCCTATTGCCCCTCAACAATCTGGGTCCTCATTTTACTGACTTTGAAAAGATGGAAGGCTGAGTCAACCATGAGCCCCATCAGGATCGAACTCTTGGCAGTGGGCAGAGTTAAATTGCAATACTGCATTCTAACCAATGCGTCACCACGATATATTACAGGTAGTCCTTGACTTATGACTGATCACTTAGCAACTGTTTGACTTTATGATAGCCCCCCCCCAAAGATACTTATGACCTGGATTCAAAGTTCCAATGTCCACTTCCTCCCCCAAGGCCACATGACTGCATTTTGGACACTCAGGCCTGGATTTGCAGTGATTTGCAGCATCCTGTGGTCACAGGCACCACTGTGGGCAAGCCAGCTGAAGCTCTCTTCAGCTGGCAGCACCCGGACTCACGTTTTCAGCCACCCTCCTTCTCTGATCCACGTGCCTTCCCTGACACGGCCATTCCTGCAGGAGGGCACTGCATGTGCCACCCGATACTTATGGGTACGGCTTTTATCCTGGCCAGAAGCCAGACCCAACCTCTCTCCTTCCGTCTCCATGTGCACATTCATAACTTGAGCTCAGAGGCTATTTAAGGTAGGGGAGAGTTTGCAAAGAAGCGTCACCCCCCCCTCCTTCCCCCACTGCATAGGCTAGACACGGGCATGGAGCCGCATGTTGAAATATTCGTGTTATTCAACTTCCCCAGTGAGCTCCTTCTCTGCCATTAGCAAGGAAATCTGAAGGATATCGATAGAAGCAAAAATCTCTGCTTTCTTCTTTTAAAAAAAGAGAAAGCCTGCCCCTCCCTCTTTCCCTGCAGACAGGCAGGAATGCGAGCCCACCTTGAAGCCAGCCATTTGCCTTGCCGTCCTCGGTAACCCTTGGCTCGTTCCCCAGGGTCTGCCCTGGAAGCAGCTGCCATACACTTCATCTCTGTACAGGTGATCCCTACAAAAAACTGGGCACTTGAGCTATTTATCTTAAAGTGGCAACCTGTGGAACAGGTTTTTGATGGGCTTTAGAAAAAGGGTTAATTAGGGCTTTCCTCCCTCCATCCAAGCACATTTATGTATTTGTTCTTTTTAAACTCAAGAAACAAAGAGAGGACAAGGGGGGGAAAAACACAGAGAGAAGCTGAGCAGGCTAGTAAGAAAAGACAGGATGAGAATGAATTAGGAAGAGACAAAGATGAACTATTAGTAGAAATCTTTGTGTCCCCCCCCCCTTCTGCTTCTCCTTCCAGAAGGAAGGAAAAACAGGGGAGTCAAGCTCTTCTCCAAAGCCCCTGAAGGCAGGACAAGAAGCGAGGGATGGGAACTAATCAAAGAGAGAAGCAACCTGGAACTAAGGAGAAAATGGGAGCCATTAACCAGTGGAATGGCTTGCGTCCAGAACTTGTGGATGCTCCAACACTGTTCAATTTTAATGAAGATGGCTTTAGTGTAGATCAGTGTTTCTCAACCTTGACAATTTTAAGGCATGTGGACTTCAACTCCCAGAATTCCACAGCCAGCATTGCCCTCTCTCAACAGAGGGGGAGGGATACAACACCATCTCTCTCCTGTTTACAACACAGAAGTTCCAAGAAGATTCCACACCCATTTGCACTATTCAGGTGACCCTGAGGGCACAGATAAACCTCCAGGTGGCCTCAGAAAGAGTACTAACAACCAGCTGACTGCAAGGAATATATATCCTTCCATTCCTCACCATCCAGTCAGAACCGAAGAAGCTTCTTGGATGAGAAGTGAAACGTCTTCAAGGAAAAACAAGGAAGTCCAGTTACCTCTTGAAAAAGCACCTTTGGGACAACCCTAACCTGATGTCTGAGAATCTCCATAGACATTCAGGCTCCTTTGTTACAGTTCTTCCTTCATGCAAAATCACCGTGCTATTTTGAACATTAAAGTGGTGGGACAAAGCCTCTCACTTTCCCTAATAGTTTATTTTGAGAGAAAAAAAAAAATCTGTGGTTTGCAACTATGGGCTCTGCAAAACCTGGCTAGCTCACGGTGGTTTAGTTTAACCTGGCAATTTGCAGAATTCAATTAAAGAGAGATACATGGGAGTCATACCAATCTGAGTGCATTCATAATACGTGTTCAGCTAGATCAGCGGTTCTCAACCTGTGGGTCGGGACCCCATTTGGGGTCGAACGACCATTTCACGAGGGTCGCCAAACAACGCAGTCTGCCATTTTTTCCCCCTTTTCCTTAGCTGTGCTACTCCCTTTTATTCTATTGGTTTTTGAAAGCCAATAGAATAGACTCTCTTGAATAGAGTCTAATTCTATTGGCTTTCAAAAGCCAATAGGAATTGTCCAGGCTGTCTCTGCCCTGCTGAGCCCGCCGAATGTCCCAGTCTGCAAACGGTGCTGCAAGTTGTCTGCAGCGAAGGCGAGTTGTCTGGAAGCTTCCACCCCTCCCTGCTGAGCAACTACTAAAAATGTAAGTAAAAGAGGGCCAGGGGTGGGAGGTGGGAGGCTGGCGGGCGCAGGGAGGGTTGCTGGCGCATGTGGGGTCCAGCGGGTGCCTTACCTCCCTTGGGCTGGGCCAGCTGGTGACCCAGCCGGTGGTCGGCCTGCGCCGTTGCTGCCCCTTTCCAGCTACGCCTCAGCCGGCGCAGGGGGCGGCACCACGCACGCGTGGTGCTCCCGGGCAGGGAAAGTCCTTGACTTACGACCGGTTGGGTAGTCCTCAACTTACGACCGGTTGGGTAGTCCTCGACTTACGACCGGTTGGGGGTCACGGCATTAAAAAGGTTGAGAACCACTGAGCTAGATCAATCTGGAATCCATTTACTTAAAATGGGCTCAAGTCTTCTAGATATTAAATAATGAGAATTTCCGTCTGGAGAGGAAAAAGAAGAGCTAAGAGGTGAACCGCAGCCAAAGAATCTGTGGGCAAGAATTACAAATACAGTCTCTATACTAGTGACCAGTTCCTTCTCAAAGCCAAACGGGTCAGCTGAAATCAATACAGGTAATTCTCAACTTACAACAGTTCATTTAGTGACCTTTTGGAGTTACAACAGCACTGAAAAAAGGGACTTACGATCATTTTTCACCCTTACGACCACTGCAGCTTCCCCAGAGTCAGGTGATCAAAATTCAGATGCTTGGCCTTTATGATGGTCGCAGAGTCCTGGGGTCACGTGATCCCCTTTTGCGACTTTCTGACAAGGAAAGTCAATGGGGAAGCCAGATTCACTTAACAACCATGTTATTAACTAGACCAGTGGTTCTTAACCTGGGCGATATCGCCCCCCCAGGAGGCAATTTCATTTTTCAGGGGGGCAATGGAACGAAAAGGGGCAACGTGGGGGCGAAGGAATGAAAAGGGGGCGATATGGGGGCAATGGAGCGAGAAGTTTTGGGGACACTTTTGAGACTTTTTCGTACAGTGAATCGCTGTATATCTGTCGTACAAAAACATCAGATCGCTCACTATTAGTGGATTGAATTGTGTTTTCAAATGTTCCTCCAGCTAGCTTCAGTACAGAACGCCGTACATATGTGAATATGCATCGCTTATCTTCATGCACATTAAGCAGCAGCCTCTACCCATACAGTGGCACACCATTGGCCAGAATATATGGGAAAAAGACTGGAAATAAATTATTTGCATCGATATGTCCTGATGACAATTTTAAAGAAAACAAAAAAAGCGTTTGCATGAATTGAAGAATTATTTCCTATGTTGTGATTGGTGGAGGGGAGCGATGACAACTTCCTCATTGGCTCAAGGGGGCGATTCGTTCAAAAAGGTGAAGAACCACTGAAGTAGACAACTGCAGTGATTCAAAAAAGGTCATAAAATGGGGAAAAAACTCACTTAACAAATGTCTCACTTAGCAACAGAAATTTTGGGCCCAATTGTGGTCTTAAGTAGAGGACTAACTGTATTTCTCATCCTGGGCCAAGAGAGGGAGTCTTTCCTTCCCCTCTTTCCATTCTTTCCCTCCCTCCCTGCCTCCCTCTTTTTTCCTCCCTCCCTCTCCTCTATTTTCTCCCAAAATCACATTTTTTTTAAATCCTAATTTTCCTCAATCAAGACAGAACGCATACCCCATTGCCAAGGATGAAGATGCAAAGGAAGGAAAAACGAAGCTAGTTATTTTTACTACCCTGCTTGAGTGTTTGTCATCCTCCCCTTAAAATTGTCTGTGTTGCCTTTTGCACAAGAATTCAAAAAAGAAAGCAGCTTTGTTGCTTCCACCGACACCCAGCGCACCAAGCAGATTTGCAAAACAGCCTGCTAAGTCTACTATCCCCAAAGGTTCTGAACAAGATTTATTACGAGCCATGCCCGGGTTGTAGGAGCATAGCAGATGGCATTCCTGCAAAGAAGTAGACACTATTTCTGCAGAACTTCAGTGAGAAAGAGGCACAGACTGATTGCTAATAAAAAAAGGGGTTGTGTGTGTGTGTGTGTGTGTGTGTGTGTGCTGTAAATCTTAGCCAAGTCCTGTCAGAGCAGATCAAAGTTCTGCGGGAGGCACCTAGTTAAATAAAGGCTTGCATCATAAACAGATTCTTAAAAGGTTAGCAAAAATGGTACATGTTTAAAGATTTTTTTTTTTTTTTGCTGCACAACACTTCCCTTTAGGAGCTTTTTCAAAAAAAAAATAATAATCATCATCAAACGGGTATAATCTCACCAGAAATGAAGACTTTTTTACTTTTGATTTTCAAAAAGTACATCCTCTTATTCAAACCATTTGCTCATACAAAGACATCCAAAGGTGGGCCCTAAAAGTACTGTTAACTCAATCAATCCCTCCCAATGCTGCTAAACACTCTCCATCTTAATATTTTTCTGACAGCTGTTTTCAACTCTTAAATCTAACACAAATACTGGTAGTCTTCGGCTTACAACCACAACTGAGTTCAAAATTTCTATTGTTCAGTGAGACAGATGTTAAATGAACTTTGCCCCATTCTTGCCTCCGTTGTTAAGTGAATCACTGCAGTTGTTAAGTTACTAACACAGTTAAGTGAATCTGGCTTCCCCCATTGATTTTGTTTGTCAGAAGGTTGCAAAAGCGGATCACAGGGACACTGCGACCGTCATAAATGGGAACCAACTGCAAAGCATCCGAATTTTGATCATATGGCCATGGGGATGCTGAAATGGTTGTAAGGGTGAAATATGTGCCACTGTAACTTTGAACTATCACTAAACAAACTGTTGTAAGTCAAGGACTATCTGTATGTCACGAAATATGACAAGAGATCCCTTAGCCGGACCCCCAAGCTACTTGAATGTTTTGCAAAATCAGTATTCAGAATCTCCTGAAGGGGCATGCCTGGCTTCAAAACTGGAAACTTCTGGTGGTGAAGAGAACTGCAGACCTTTGCAGGTTGAGTGAGCCTGGTTTATTCTCACAAATGCATTAGGAAACACAGTACTTACGGGTGAAATCCATGTTTAAGGCCAAGGTGGGCTGGAGGCCTACTTGGCTGTTTTCTTCGTCAGATTCCCAACCTGACAAAGCTGAAGAGGACGAGAAAGGAGAAGATGTAGATGAAGAGGAGATGTATGAAAGATCATCGTCCAATTCATCATGTTTCCGTTTTAGCACTCCTGTCATGATTAGGAAGAGATTTTTTTCTTATATCTGAGTGGAAAGAACAAAAAGAAGAGACAGTCATGAGTAACAAGTCCAAATCATTTTCAAAGATATGCTCCAAATGAAACATCACCAGACAGAAAAATTTTCAAGAGATTCTCAACAACTGGAAGACGAGATAGGAAGACAAAGGCGTCCTCAACCCAGCCATCCCTCAACTCTTCAAATGAGCTTAGACTACATCTCCACCCACCAAAAAACCCCATTGTTCTCCTTCAAGACATCCACAATTCCTTCACACAAGGAGCTCTGATGTCCAAACTCAACCAAACTCAATAGGACAGTTACGGGTCAAGATCAGCCAGTATATCTAAGAAGCCTACATGACACTCATGGGTTCTTCTGCAATGTTCAGTGGTTTCTTGGCATCCAGGTTGGCCTGGGAAGGGACTGCTCATAGAAAGGAGTGCTTGAAACCCCCTGGTTAGAAAGGTGAAACCAAATTGTGTTGAAGCTCACTCCTGAAGAAAAGTTCTTCATGACCCAATCCAGCATTTTGATAGCTCCAAGCACCCCTCCCCAAAAGAGACTTTACTTTCTCTAACTTTGTCTAGGATAATGCCGGCTGAGAAATTCTGAGTTGACATCCACAAGTCATAAAGGGGCCATGGTTCCCCACCTCTGGTTCAGCACCACTGTTTCTCAGCCCTTGCAGCTACGTATGCTAGCTGGGGAATTCTGGGAGTTGAAGTCTACACATCCTCAAGCTTGGTGGAGAAACATTGCTCTAGATCAGTGGTTCTCAACCTGTGGGTCGGGACCCCATTTGGGGTCGAACGACCATTTCACGGGGGTCGCCAAACAATGCAGTCCGCCATTTTTTCCCTCCTTTTCCTTAGCTGTGCTACTCCCTTTTATTCTATTGGTTTTGAAAGCCA